CGCGAGCCGCCCAGCCGCCCGGCCGCCGCGGCCCGCGGGGCTTCTCGGCATCCCGGCAGCGGCTGGGGTGAAGAGGCTCTAGGGCGCCCCCTCCCCGGCGGGCTGAGCTCGGCTCTCGGCCAAGACCTCCGGGAGCGCGAGCCTTGAGTCCCGGGGCGCTGGCTCCCCGCCCCCTTCCTTCGCCCCTCCCTCTTATCTCCTCGGGAGTCTCCCTGCACTTTGTCCCCGAGCCGCCGTTGTCCCGCCCCTAGACAACGGAGGCGGTCGGGGACTCGGGCTCCCTTGCCTTGCCCTTCGTACGGCCTTGGCCCTCCCCGCGGAGCCCGGAGCGGCCCGGGATTCCCGCAGAGGAACCCGAGACGAGGGTCCAGGCGGAAACTCTTGCAGGGACCCGAAAAGGGGTGTTCCCCTCCTCCCCGCGGGTCCCTGCTCGGCTCTCCGCCCTCTCCTCCTCTTTAACCGTTCCCGAGTTGGCGTGAAGAAGCAGGCACAGGTGAATCAGTCCGCTGCCGGGGCAACGCCCTGCCCTCTTCAGAGAGGTGTCGCTGTTGTCTCCCTGAGGATATTTTACCTTCCTTCCCTCGACCGAGTGGTAGTTCTTGCCTCCTGCCCCCGCCCCCGCCGTGTTACGGAGTTCAGTTAGTGGGCCACAGGGAGCCGCATAGAAACTTCTTGAGTCAGAGCGGGGCACAGTCGTGCTTAAGGTGGTGTTTGGGAAGATGATTCGGAGAGAGGCAGAGGCAAGAAGCCGGGAGGCCGTCCCGACAGTCTAGGCCAAAGGGGACAGGGGTTCAGGCCAGGCCAGCTCACTCCACTGGGCCCAACAATGATGGAAGCTATCCGAGGCTTTTCCTCCTTGACCCTCAAATATTTTGCCCTAAATATTTTGAGCTTTCCTTCGTGACAGCCTATGCATGTGCAATCGATTTTTGAACATTTATTATGTGCCAGACGCTGGACTAGATGCTTTGTATATATCAACTCTTTTAATCCTCCCAGTGACCTCAAAAGCTAAGTCTCATGGCTACCCCCAGTTTGCAGAGAGGTTAGGCCACTTGCTCAAGGTCAGCCAGCCGGAAAGTGGCAGAGCAGGTCTGTGTGACACCACAGTCTTCGTCCTGGCACAGAGGGACTGGCATTCAAGCCAGGCTTATCAGCTGCCAATCACTCACACAGGCCCCAAATTTCAGCCCAATGGACGGACTTGTCCCAACCTGAGCGTATCTGACGGTTGCCCTCTTCCCAAGCGTCCTCCCTCAGAGCTTCCGTCCGGGGAAGTTCTTCTCCCTGTCCTTTGACATTGGCCTCAGTGTCCACCTTCTCCAGCATGCCTCCTCCGATTACCCCAGCCCAGTGATGGCTCTCCCTCTCCCAACCAGCTGTTTGCCCTCCTCCCTTGGCACCCAGCGCTGACTGCCTTGTGGTGCTTCCCTCCCTGTGCTCTGACATGCCAAATACACTCTCAACTCTTCGATGGCTGTGTCATACTATCCTTGCTCTGGTTTGGCAGCCCGGGGGGGTGGGGTGGGTGGGTGGAATGTGACTGCGTGTATAGGCCGAGGGGGGGGCGGTGTGCGTTGGGGGGGGTGCCCACTCCCACGTCCCTGCCTCGGACTGCCACCTGTAGGACACCAAAACCGACTCGTGGAGTTCGTCAGTTCATAAAAAAAATAAATAAATAAAGTAGCTGGGCGCCTGGGTGGCTCAGTCGGCTAAGCGTCCAACTTCAGCTCAGGTCATGATCTCGCGGTCCGTGAGTTCGAGCCCCGCGTCGGGCTCTGTGCTGACCGCTCAGAGCCTGGAGCCTGTTTCGGATTCTGTGTGTGTCTCTCTCTCTGACCCTCCCCCGTTCATGCTCTGTCTCTCTCTGTCTCAAAAATAAATAAACGTTAAAAAAAAGATTTTAAAAAAATAAAAACTAAAATAGAGTAGCGATCAAGTAGCTGCTGCACGGAGCCCATCAGCCAAAGCCACCTCCTGGCCTTTGCTGACTCCTCAGAGACCAGGCCCAGGCCCAGAGTGGGGCCCCAAGCTTTCAGGCTTTCATTTTCAAAATGAACCCTGACTGACAAGCAGCTACTTCCGTTGCTCTGGAAACTCCCCTCCATAACCCCAAATTTGTAAACACCAAACCACACGCATGCACACACACTTCCAGAATATGCAAACAGCTGCAGCAATATATATTTTTTTAAATCAAAATGCCAGCATGGAGAACGCAGGATAGAAGAATGCTCGGGCTATTAATTTTCCTGGCCACTAAGCGGGCAATCCCCTTCCCCGTTGGCACTAATAATATCTCTGGTTACAGTCCAAAGGCTGCAAAGGCGGTCACCTGACCGGCGCCGCACACCCATGACGCCTGTGCCCTTGCTTAGTTGGCTCTTGTTGCCAGAAACCGAACCCACGGTGCCTCCCTGGCAGCTCATTCCACCTTTACTTAGCAAGTACTTCCTGCCCTAGGTCACCAGCCGCCTTCATGGTTCCCCAGAGCCACGCATGGCCTCTAGTTCAGGAGAGAGGGTCCCTGGAACTTCAGGGCTGGGAGTGGGGTAGCGGAGGCAGAACCCAGAAACGACAGGACTGACCCTCCTAAAATGAAGATGCCTGGCACCTGAGGTGACTGCTCACCCCCGGAGGGAGTGGAGCCGACCCCCCTCAAGCCCTTGGAAACAGTCTCCTCCCACCAAAGGTGCCTTCAGGGCGGGTGTTTGCATTTCAAATAGCGATGCCTGGTGTCTTTCTCGGCCAGCCTCTCTGATAAAACAATAAAATACAATAAATACTCCGGGTTTGTTTACAGATCCTGGACCATTTGAATTAGAACTTCCTATTTCGTTGGTCGTTTCTTCATTTTTCAGCTGTGGTTGACCTGTCAGGAAGGATGGCAGGGGGCAGAGAACATTCTAGAAGTGCCAAATATACACTATGTTTCCTTTCTTCCGCAGACCTGTGCTGATATCATCACCTGATTCTCAGTGAAGGAGAGAAAGCTCCTTTCCCACTGAGCCAAAGAGTGTGTGGCTTGTGCAAACGTGCGTGCACGAGTGTATGCTTGAGTGTGTGTTTGTGTGTGGGTGCACACTGCCAGGCCTGTCTCTGGTTGTCATTTCCCCCTTTCCACGTGTCAGGGCTTTACTTGAGGATACCCCTGTGAAAAGTTTAACATTCTGATTGAGCAGAAAGAAATCTTTAGGCCCAGGCCCTATTGCAAATAGGAAACTTCCTAAGACTTGGGCTGCAATGGCTTAACTGAAGTCCACGTGTCAAGCCTGGACCCTGAAGTGTGACGAGAGAAAAAAAAATTTTTTTCCATTACACATATTGATCCTGCTGTGAAAATGTCACATCCCGGACGTTTTCTCGAAGTATTACCGCGCGGACACACACGAGGGCGCGCTAACCAACTAGAGATGGAGAGAACCGGAAAGGTCACACAGATTTCCACCGGGGAGGGGCGGGGAAGAGGCGTTGCAGGTCCTTTGTCGGTGTGGATTCAAGTTTTCACCCCGGTTTCTCACCCCTGGTCCCTAAGTAGATGCAGAGAAGGAAGCAGAAGCATCAGGGGCTGTGATGAGAAGGCCAGGGTGTCATCTTGAAGAGAATGTGAGCAATCTGGAGAGAAAAGGAGGAGGGTGAACAGAATAAGGTGTTTCCTTACTTTATTCAAGAGGAGTAGGCTTCTGTAGTCTGTTATGCTTGGAATAATAATCCCTTGTGGTTTTCAAGGCGCTTTCATGTTTTTTCATTATTTCTTTGACCCAGGCAGCAAGCCTGGGAGGCGGGTAGAAAAGACAGTATTTATAACCAATTCACACGTACGTCCGAGAGAGGTTAAGTGACCTGCCCAGAGCCACACAGCTCAAACGTGGTGCAGCCGGTCTGCGGGTCAGCTGTCAGCAACGCTGTGCAGTAAGTGAATGTCGTCCGTGGTGCCTTCTGCCTTCTGTTTCTAATCCAGATGCCCTGTGCCTCAAATTACCCAATGTAGCACTCCCTAATGATAAGGATAACACCTACCTGCTGGTACTGAGCACTTGGGTGCCTGGCCGGCCCATTGCCAGGTATTAAACGTGTATAATCATACATGAAAGCTCGGAGCAGTTCTATTCACAACAGCCAAAAGGTAGAAATAATCCCCATGGCCAACAGATGCATGGATAAACAAAACACGACGTATCCATGCAATGGAATATTATTCGGTCACAAAAAGGATTTAGGGGTGCCTGGGTGGCTCAGCGGCTGGAGCGTCTGACTTCAGCTCGGGCTGTGATCTTGCGATTCTCGAGTTCGAGTCCCCCATCAGGCTCGCTGCTGTCAGTACAGAGCCCGCTTGCGATCCTCTATTCTCCTCTCTCTGCCTGTCCCCACCTGGTGCTAAAAAAAAAAAAAAAAAAAAAAAAAAAGACGTTAAATAATGACACATGCTACAACACGGAGGGACCTCGAAAACATTATGGTAAGTGAAAGGAGCCAGACACAAAAGACCACATACTGTCTGATTCCATTTATACGAAATATCCAGAAGAGGCAAATCCATAGAGGCAGAAAGTAGGTTAGTGATGGCCTAGGCTGGGGGGTGGGGTGG